ACACAAAAAGAAAAACAAGGAGAAAGTGTGCATGCAAACCCCTGCGCTACATAGGTGAGCCCCCGCCCTCCCTTCACCTCTCTCTCACACACACAAAAAAATAAAAACAAGGAGAAAGTGTGCACGCAAATGGGTGATGCGTGCGCCCAGCACACTGCGGCCGTGCGCGTCTTGAGTGCGGTCTGCATGGTGTGCGTGCGTCACCTATTTGCGCATGGTGCACCACGTGCCACATGGCCCACAGCTCACGGCAACGGTGCACCGCAAGTTTGAATTGAAGGCAACAAAATAGGCAATGTGGTAAAAGAGAAGAAACTAGTTTTTCTCGAGTCTGTAGATCTCAATCCAAGAGTCAAACACGAATGAGTACCACACACATATATATATTAAGATTTTTTTGTTTTTTTGGTTTTTTCGCTTAGGCGCTCTGATATTATGTGACAATATATATATCGGTGAAACTCCGACGAAACAGTTTGTCACAGCCCCTCGTTTGTTGTCCTCTTCTCCCTCTCTGCCTACGGTTTACCGGGCAGTTCTATTTGACGATATATATATATATGTGTGTGTGTCTGTCTCCGTGCCTAGCTCCATGTCTGTCACCGTGCCTGCTTTAGTCTTCATTCCCCCACATGCTGCACTAACACCTTGTGACCTCCTTCTTTGTGAGATCACTGACTCAGTTACACTTGGTTGTGGAAAGCATCGACTTTGTCGACATCACTACAACCGTATAATTTTTCGGGCCCGCTGTCGGCAGGATGCCACCTGTATTCGGATTGTGAATATCCTCTACATCCAGATGCAGTATGTCCCATCTGTGCCTGCGGGCGCTGTAGAGAATGTGCACTTAACTGTGATGGTGAACGCCCCACAATCGTCATGGCCTGCAACCGGCATGCCCTCTGCCGTTCGTGCTTCAGAGGTATGGTTGATGCTAGCCGCCCTGGCTCCTGCTGTGATGAAGTTGCTTACCTGAATGGTTTTCGTCCTGTAGATCAGCTGGAGGGCTGCTACCGTCGCCCGCATCCTTATGGCAGTTGTTCATGAGGGTCTTACGTAGACGTACCTTGCACCCTGACAAAAATGTGCAGGTGCGCTGAAAAGAGTGTACAGAATGTGCAAAGGTGGGAAACCCTTCACTAAAACTGCAAAACAGTGAAGAATCCAGTAAAAGAATAACATAAGTTTGTGTCATTTTACTTTGTTTGTACCCTGCGCCCCTAACACCCTCAAATAAAAAGTCTGAAGGGTGAAAATGAGAATGAAAAATGAAGAAGGAAGTGCAGGTGCGCTGAAAAGCGAACGTGGTAGACTCTTCACCTATGAACTGCAAAACTGTGAAAGAAAGAAGAATGTAAACTGTGAAAGAAAGAAGAATGCAAACTGTGAAAGAAAGAAGAATGCAGTAAAAGAAAGAAGATGTTTGTGTCACCCTTTTTTAATTTTTCTCCCTCTGCCTATCGGTTTTCCTTTTCTGCTCCTCTCTTCCTTGTGTTTAACACCTCTTCCTTCACTCTGCCTCTTTCCCATAGCGTGCAAGTGGGTTGTTATGGCATACGGGGATGGGGGCAGCTCACGCTCAACTTCATCAACGTGGCGGGCCTTGTACGTTAGAGTCACGGTGGAGGAGGAGTTAAGAAGACTGAGAAGTTGAATGATTTCAACGTGTCTTTGTTTTTTATTTTTATCCTTTGTTCACTGTAAATTGTTTTTGTAAAACACTGAAAGAAATAAGAATACAGTGAAACAAAGAAGAAGAGGACACTGTTTTGTGTCATTCTAGTTTGTCCGTCTCTTTGCCTGTCTGTCCTTTCATTTTTTATTTCTTCGCTCATCTTATTTCCTCTTCTACTTCGCTTGCTTACGCTCTTAGTCAATAGTTCTGTGACAATATATACTATGTTACCGGAGTCGCCCGGCCGGGCGACCCGGGCGAAGTTGCACGGGGGATGACCCGGGCAAAGTTGCACGGGGGGTGACCCGCCCGGGGTACCCGGGCGACACTGAAAAGGGGGGCAATTTTTTTTTTTTTTTTTTTTTTTGGCAGTGGGGCAATTTTGCGCCCACTGAGACGTGCCCAAATCCGGTTGAGTTTGGTGATATCTCACCAAAGGGGTGTCTATGGGGTATAAACGGGGTTCAAAAGGGCTCGAAGGTGCTTCG